TGTATTTTAAGATGTTTTACAGATAACATTGGAGTTCAAAGGTCAGCAGATCACAATGTTATAAAGCCTTTCGGAGTAACAACCTGCCCACAGCGACTTTTTCTAAGTCACTCCCACGAGAAGCATTACCTCTAGAGCATTTCAGTTTTCCATGTAAGAGAAGCCATGTAGTTCCTAGTTATTAGCTTTATATGTGCTAGACATATGGATACAGGTGCCACTTCTCTATATATGGTAGACATATAGACATAGATCTTAAAATTGGTTATAATATACTTTTTCAAGTTAAATTTTGGGGTCTTTCCTTTATTAAACTTGTTTATTTCATAATGTTTGGTTATCCATTTTTAAAATGAAGGCATTGTTGTCTTTATTATGAGTATTTAGAAGAATATAATTTTGACCTTTTTTGGCATGGTATGGTATGGTATGGTACAGTACGGTACGGTATGGTACTTTTTAAGATACCAATGTCTTTTTAGGAGTGACATCACACACTTGGCCCATAATGACTTATTCTCTATAAAAACGTGCTAGGTCACATTGTTCATACTGAACATCCTCACACAGAACAGATTCACTGTGGTAGAGCTGCTTAACTGGTTTATAGAAAGTAATACAGAACACAGTATGACAGATAATTTGGCTGGGTCAGGAAATATCATTTCAACAAGTATTATGGTTTGATCTCCCTTTCCTTCTCTCCGGAAAGAAACCTGTGGCCTTTTGCACACTGGGTAGGAGGCCATCCTCTGTGACTACTGAGCTCCAGCACCAGCTCCGTTTGATTAATTACCCAGCCATGTTTGGCTCTGGGCAAATTAGCAAGCATTTACTGTTATTTTTTAAAGTTTTGTGGCATACTTTTTGAAAATAAGAGTAAAACAAAGGAAATAAAACTCATAAAGTTGTATGCTGTAAGGAGACGATAGTCAGAGCCCAGCCATCTTGAAAGCAGCTCTTGACTTTGCTTCCCATTTTGTTAGCAGGGTCAAGCCGAGTTCATATTCCCAGGCTTTGAGGGCAGCCCAGATCACCCTGCCCCTCTAAGTGATTTTTTTAATTGACTATTAAACCAGTAAAGAATGTAGAACTTGCTGTTGCCTTAACAAGGTGCCTAAGTTGAAAAATATATAACCAATTGCCTGCCAAGCTCTCATTAACCATGTGCAGTTGACCTGTTCATTTGGTCCCTTATTACCTTGAGCTTGGGACCACATGTCTAAGAGGATGAGTTAAGGGCCTTGAAGCCAGTCCCGGATAAGGCCCAGTCTCTAACAGATACTCCCTTATATAAACCTCAAGGTCAAAATACCACTGGATGACCCCATATCTCACCCATGCCTCCTCCTCCTGAGATCTCACCCTTTAAATATGCAATACCGCTTCCCCTGACTTAAAAGTGTCAAGAAAAGTATTCCACAGTTTACTCAATCCCCACTTATTAAATCATACCGATAAATTTAGGGTTTTTTTTATTATTATTTGATATAGATTCTCATACAGTCCTGCTGGCCTCAATGGCTGAGGACAATCTGACATACAGGATCCCTCCTGTTGCACTTCCTTGAGTTCTGTGAGAGCAGAGAGCAGGAATGCACCACCTCATCTCGTCTATGCTGTGCTGGGGACTGAACTCAAAGCTTCAGGCATGATCTGCAAGGACTCTGTCAACTGAGCTACATCCCCAGATGATTTACCTATATTCCTTTTAAGTAGGATTGTATGAGAGAACAAAAATGATATAAATAAGCAAAAGGACTCGCTTATAGCAAAATGCATTTGTAAATTCAGGATTAAAGGTCGCATCAGCAGATTATAAACATTTGTAAAATGGTTGTTACTCATGCTTCCTAGATTTAGGTTTAATTTTAATGATAAGGCAAAGTAATCAATTTGGGCTTATCATAGCTTACGCCAGAATGAGATAATATATTCAGTCCTTAAATATGAACAGAATTTTAGACATTAAAATATGGTTTTGCTTAGGTGACTTCATGAGTCGTGATGATACCATGTCATTTAATCACCTTTAAATGCCTTTAGCTGATTATTCATTCAATTTAATGTCAAGGGATAGTGCAGTGTGGTTCATTAGAAAGATTTAATGACTTCAAATAAATGTCATCTATATTCTCCTTTCTCTGGCTGAATCAACATCTTAGAAATAGGTTAAACACAGTGGCTACCATGGCTTTAACAATAATGTATACTATAAAGAAATAGGTTAGAAGTTTCTAATTCAAGCTTGCTGTTCCCTGAACAACTAGATTGATTTCTTGATTCCTAGTGAAAGAATATGAACTTGTTATGGTTAAGCTACAATGAGCATCCAGAAGTTTAGAATCATCAAGAGGAACAAACTTAACTCTCCTTTAGTTTGTGGATACTGGCCAAGTTTGTAATGATAATTGACATATACTGTGGTGTACCTATGTCCTAGACACTAACAACATTTAAAGCTAAGATATAAATAATGTAATGATAGAAAGTGCCTGGATAAGGTTACATTTTCTGGCTTCAAAGTCATGCCCTTTACACTTAGCAGCACAATCTTCCTGACCTAGAAAATGTTGCCTATGTGGCCTAGACATTTCCTAGGAAATACACAAAGTTCACACTAACTTAAAGTTGTAGAAAGACACACATGGTATGTATTCATTTTTAAGTGGATATTAGCCTTATTATATAGGATAAACATACTAAAATCTATACTCCTAAAGAAGCTAAACAACAAGGAAGACCCTAGAGAAGATGCTAGTCCTCATTCAGAAGAACAAACATGAAACACATTGGAAGCAGGAGAAGACAGGGGAAAGGACGGGAGCCTACCACAGAGGGCCTCTGAAAGAGTCTACTGATGGAGGTATCGAAGCAGAGGCTGAGACTCATAGCCAAACTTTGGGCAGAGTGCAGGTAATCTTATGAAAGAAGGGAGAGATAGAAAGACCTGGAGGGGACAGGAGCTCCACAAGACCAACAGAGCCATAAAAACTGAGCCCTGGGGTCCCTGAAGAGAATGATATCCCAACCAAGGACAATGCATGGAGAGGACCTAAAACTGCTGCTCAGATGTAGCCCATAGACTCAGTCTCCAAGTGGAGTCTCTAGTAAGGGGAGCAGGGACTGTCTCTGATATGAACTCAGTGGCAGGTCTCTGATCACCTCCCAGGGGGGGGGGTGCAGCCTTTCCAGGCCACAGAGGAAGACAATACAACCAGTCTTGATGAGACCTGATAGGCTAGGGTCAGATAGAAGGGGAGGAGGACCTTCCCTATGAGTGGTATAGGGGAGGGGCATAGGGGGAGAAGAGGGAGGAAGGGTGAAATTGGGAGGAGATGTGGGAGGGGGCCCCAGCTGGGATACAAATTGAATAAATTCTAATAAATGATAAAAATTAAAAAAAGATTTAAAAAAAGAAATACAAGTGGAAAAAAATAAAAGTTGTTGTGATGAAAATGTTTCCGATATTTTTCTGTGTACTTACGTATTTACTGATTGATTGAGTATGGCAGTTAAATTTCCCTTGTCCCTGCTTTTTTCTAACCCCCAAACTGAGAGGTCAAATGAAGTCTATATATATGGGTAAAGTTTAAGAAGCTGTGAAAGCTGTATTCTCCAGTTGTATTGCCATCCCTGCCTCACTTATTTTAAAGAGACTAAGATACAATGAGCAGAGAGTTATTGTCATTAGAATTTGCCTTAGCATAAAAGGCATGTCTCACCATGATCTATGTTATATATTTTATTTTTGTTTCAACAATGCTAATTAATGGCTATTAATTTCACAAATTTTTTATTGATTATGAAACTTTACTTTTGATGGGTTTAATATATATCTTGAATTATAAATTCCCAGAGATGCCTTGGTTTTCAACCTATGTTTTTAAGCTTTACAATAGGAAGCCAAATGATATGTGACCATTTAGTCTGGACCAAGTAATCAAAGGCCTTGTGTCTTAACCATCTGGACTGGCTCTAAGGTGATGCCCAAAGTACCCTGCAGTGGGTTACAGAAATTTTCTCCTCAGCAACTTCATAAAGACACTGAAAAAATCAAAATAAGCACAAAGTACCGTATTTATGCTAGTACTACAAAATAGAGATTACAGTTTTTAACAAACAAGTTTAGTGCTTACATTAACTTTATGAACTACAAAAATAATTCTCAAAATAGGCTTTTCTGAGAACTTAAGTAGCGTACGATTTCCTTCTGATAGTTCAAGAAAGGTATATTTCTGAAGTTCTTTTTAATATTTTTGTTAAAATTGTCTCTTCATAACTCAGCTACATCTTTCTTATTGCTCAGTCATGTAATTTTAATAGTAATTATTCCATAAAGTTCATACTGCTTTTCTTATTTGATGAATGAACATGGGGGGAATAAGATCTTAGGTTTTCCAACCAAGTATAAATAATTGAAATTTTACCTCTTTCCATTGAAATACTCTTGAACTTTAGTTTTTTTCACCAGAAAATGCCATAGACAGAAACTATTGTCTATAAAACAATTACTTATATAAAGCCTATTAAGGATAATTTTTCAGGAAAGCCTGCCGAAGTGGCAATTCTTTGATAGAGTCATTGTGATCACCAATGGTTGCTGCTGGTTACAGAAATTAATTCATTGGATTGTAAAGGCTATTGGTGATTCTATAATAAAATCTCACTAGTTGTGGACATTTTAATTTACTCTGAATTTCCTGTTTGTCCTGTCCTACTTTCTTGTAGGCTTCATGAAGTTATTCAGCTGTATGATTTTAAAAGTATCATAATTCTATGGAACATTTCAAGAGCAAGAAAAAAATCTTACAAATTCCTGTTTTAAAACATGGTATAATTGGCTCTGGTTTGAATAAATGCTTCGAGCAACGTGCCTTTATTTGCCATTTTTTGACCTGCGTTTCATTACAACAAGTGAGAATCAAGTCTTAAAATGTGAAACAAACTGGGAAGAAATGAGTATTTCATTTGTTCATAGAAAAGAGTTTCACCTTCACCTGGCAAGTGGTGTACTTGATTCCTCTGTCTCACAGCAGGTATCTCATTCCTATAAAAGCCTGGTGCTGCCTCAGGAGTTCTGGTAGCAAGTCCTAAAGGAAGGGAATACAAGACTATTGGCATATAATTTCTCAGCCCAAGTGAACTAAGAATATATCTTAAAGGCCAATTTCCTATTTACTACACTGCAGGTCTGTGCCTGTGCTGTGCTGGGCTGTGTGTGCACATGCATGTGGAGATCAGAGATAGATGTCAACTATCTTCTTTGATCATTCTACTCATCTAGGTTGAGACAGGGCTTCTCAATTTGACTCCAGAACTTGCTGATGTAGCTACTCTAGCAAGCCATCCTGTTCCAGAGATCCTCTATCACTGCCTCTCAGGCGCTGGGATTCCAAGCAGACTGCCACACTACCTCACATTTATGTGGGTGCTGAGGAGCTGGCCTAGTACTCACAATTATGTGACAAGTACTTTGCTCTTTGAGCCACCTCCCCAGCCCTATTTGTGCCCTTATTTAACACGTTATATCTATACCTATATCTTTATCTGTCTGCATCTGTGATATAGACCTATATCTATCCTCTATCTGATTCATATATCTATATGTCTATTTATCAATATAGATTATAGGAAGGCAAAGTAAAGATTCTCTGAAGTTACAATGGGATATTAGATATGCAGAATTTATCAGAAGGACTAAAACTAGGCCATTGAATCTAGATCAAGCCCAAGCCTGAGAAGAACAGTTGGCCACTCTGTTTTTTGACTATTTTTATGACACCACTTTTAAGACAATTTAACAAAAATATGTTCAATAAAGTAAACATATGTTATCCTGTTTTTCAATGGACTTGGTTGCTTAGTAAGTTTTCTGTAGTCTATGGGAAATAGGAATTATAAGGTTAATGGTAATACAGAAATAGAAGGGGTCTTGGGACCTAATGGGAGCATAGAAGATGATGCTGTCCCGGGCAAAGAATTAGAAAAAGGGTCCATGTTCTTGGGACGTTATGACCCTGCAACTAAAGTTTCATTGACTTTGTAGGTCTTCGTCCTTTGGGGGGTTGTTTTCTTTAGAAAATTATAGTTCTGGCAGGCAACTAGGGCAGGCATGAATACTGGCACCTACTCAACCCTCTTGGAAGAAGAGATTATATAGAATACAAATTATACAATATTACCTGTTGAGTGTAAAAGGGTTTCATAGCTTTATAAAGTATTAATTTTAAACATTATTTGACAATAGTTGTTTCTGCAAATGGACTATAGTTCCATTTGTGATGAAGTATATTTACTTTCTGTTCTAATTTTTCTTTAGTGAATAGCATAATGTCTTACCATAGAAACTGAAAACACAGGTTTAATAGTAAGTCAATAGTCAATATGAAAACATTAAATTATCTTGAATACTGAGAACATAAGATTCCAGTTGGCTTACTGGATTCTACAGCTCCCAATCTATAATCTATCTCTTTCATTATCTCAAGAAAATAATTCATAGTCTGAACCTTCATCTATGTTATTTGTCATTTACTAGGGTATAAGAGACTTTGAGAACATAGAAAAACTATAAAATGATTACTCTTTTCCCTAAGTGCTAGTTTATCTTATTCCAGTAGACTTACACTGCCCATTTGCACCTGATTTTAGTGGACTTAGCAGTGGTTGTGGGAAGGTCCAACATCTTCCAAAGATATTATTTGTGGAGAATAACTACTGAAAAAATCTAAAAACCTTTTCATGCGGAAAACACTTTACCCCATTTAGGAAAATACAGCTGTCATATAAATGAATTCCATCATAATACAACATTTTATCTTCAAGAAACAAAACACACAAGTAGTTAAAACGGTCCTGCTTTGAAGAACTCTCCTTGATTGCATGCAAGCCCCTTGAGGCTTCCCTCAGAAAAGAAGGGCATTGCTGTTTCCAGAGTGCTTTAACTCATAAAAAAGTAAACACTACAGGAGGAGGGATAAAAGTAGGATGCTAACCAAAAGCTTTCAGCAATTATCATAACTTTGAACATTTTAGCTCTTTCCCAAAGAAGTTGCTAACATCTCATTTATGCAATATTCTATGGAGGAGTTAGACAACATTTTCCTTTAGAAGAGATAGAAATGTCATTTTCACTGGGAATATAATTAAATATGTAAATAATCCAAAAGAAATTATAAACTAATGGAATTTATAAATTTAATGAGTTTTCTGGAAGCAAATATAATTTGTACATTTAATTATGTTTTTACTTTATATCCACAAGTGACTAGAAAATTAAATGACATTTATAATAATTGAAAACTCAAATACAAAAGAATAAGTCTAATGAAAGATGAACAAGACCTCCACAATAAAAATTATAAATCACTACTGAGATAGAGAACATACATAAATGTGTAATACAAAGGGGAAACTCAATATTATTAAACATGTGATTATATCTAATTGATGTGTAACTAGTGAAATTGTAATAGCAATGTAAACATGCTTATAAGTGAATTAATACATTATTCCTGAAAGTTACAAAATTAGAATACATAAAACAATCTTAAAAAGGACCAAAAATTTGGAGAGACTACATTGTCAGCAATATTTATGAAGCTATATTAATTAAAAGTGTGATCTGAATACGTGCTATACATTCTGTTTAGAACAGAAGATAAAGTTTACACACACACACACGCACCACATGATGAAGTCCACCAATTTACAGCAAAAGCTCCACTATTGTGTAATGAAGGGAATGGTAATTTCTTCATAAATCTCACCTACCAATTGGATAGCTAAATAGCTCCTTCCTCGTATGATATATAGAACAAATTCCCGATGGAAGTTAAAGGTGAAATATAAAACAAGTTACTAGATGGTAGTATTAAACATTGCTTCATGTTCATAGAGTGGGCAAGAATTTTCCTTAAGGAGACACAAGGCATTACAATAAAATAAAACATTGTCAAGATGAATTACATTACAGCTAGCACTGACTTAAAGAAAGTAAAGGGCAGGCCACAGAGAAAGAACAAGGTATATTACCATATACATGCAGCAAAAGACTGTCCAGCACCACACATACACATTCTCACACATTCACACCCACCTGCAGACACACACACCTATGAATAAGAAATGGCAAAGAAAAGTTGGTGACCCAGTCACAGTGAGGAAAGGAATTAAATATAGGATAAATAGGATAAATAGTAAATTAATATAGAATGATCCAAAATACTCAGACATTAGAGATGTGCAATCCAATTTAATTCTACAATGAGATACTATTACATATACTTCAAATGACTGTTTTAAATATTAAGTGCCCTAATGTTGAATATCAGGAAGAATATGAGAGAAATGGACCCTTTGCACACTGTAAGTGGCAGTAATTGGTACAACTACTTTAGAAAACTCATTGGTAGCATATTTGCTAAATCTGTACATTTGCATGTTTGACCTTCTCCTACAATCAAGGATAAACATCACCTCAGGTTAAAAGGATAAAAAAAGCTATTCTAAGCAACTGACCTAAGAAGCAAGCTAGTATAGCTATTTTGATATCTGACAAGACAGATATCTGACAAAACAAAACTAATCAGAAGAGATAGGGAGGGACACTGCATGCTCACCAAAGGAAAACTCTGCCAAGAAGACATTACAATTTTTAACATTTTTACACCAAACACAAGGGCACCCAAGTTCATAGAAGAAATTATTACAGCTTAAATGATCTATTGATCCTCGATCTTAGCCATTCTGATAGGTGTAAGGTGAAATCTCAGGGTCATTTTAATTTGCATTTCCCTGATGACTAAGGACATCGAGCATTTCTTTAAGTGTTTCTCTGCCATTCGATATTCCTCTATTGAGAATTCCCATTTAGCTCTGTAACACATTTTTAAAAATTGGATTACTTGATTTGGTGCTTCTTAACTTCTTGAGTTCTTTATATATTCTGGATATTAGTCCTCTGTCAGATATAGGGTTGGTGAAGATCCTTTCCCAGTCTGTAGGCTGTTGTTTTGTTCTGATGACAGTGTCCTTTGCTTTACAGAAGCTTTTCAGTTTTATGAGGTCCCATTTATTGATTGTTGATCTTATAGCCTGTGCTGTTGGTGATCCTTGAACACTGATTGTGAGAGATTTCAATACCTTGCTCTTTCCAATTAGTCATGCCAACCAGACAAAAACTAAAAAGAGAAATACTGGAACTAACAGATGTTATAAACCAAATGTACTGAGCCAATATTTTCAGAAAATTTCACTCAAACACAAAAGAATGTACCTTTTAACACCTAATAGAACTTTCTCTAAAAGCGACCATATATTGCTCACATAGCAAGCCTCAACAGATTCAAGAAAATGGAAATGACTCCCTGAATCCTATCCAACCACCATGGATTAAAGCTGGATATCAACAACAACAGAAAAAACAGAAAGCCTACAAACTCATGGAAACTGAAAACTCTCTATTGAATGAAAAATGGGTCAAGACAGACAGAAAGAAAAGACTTTCTAGAGTTCAATGAAAATGAACACACAGCATAACGAAAATGTATGGGACACAATGAAAGTGGTGCTAAGAGGAAAGTTTATAATACTAAGTGCCTACATAAGAAAATTGGAGAGATATCATACTAAGACAGCACACCTGAAAGCTCTAGGACAAAAAGAAGTAAGCACACTCAAGAGGAGTTGAGGGCAAGAAATATTCAAACTCAATGCTGAAATCAATAAAATTAAAACCAAAAACAAATGCAAAGAATCAGTGAAACAAAGAGTTGGTTCTTTGAGAAAATTAATAATATTGATAAACCCTAATTAACTGAAAGGCAGAGAAAAAATATCTAACTAAAAATATAGAAATAAAAAAGGGGCATAAGAACACAAAGGATATCAAGAGAATCATAAGGACGTACTATAAAAACCTGTACTCTACCAAATTAGAAAATCTAAAGGAAATGTGTACATTTTTGACACGTAACCACTTATCAAAGTTAAATCAAGATCAGATATGCCATTTAAACAGACCTATAATTCCCTAATGAAATAGAAGCAGTCATTAAAGTCTACCAACTATCCCCCAAAATCTTAGTGT